TCCCCCTCTTCCCGTCTACGGCCCCGTGTTCCCTCTGCCGGACTCGTCCCCGGCTCGTCTTCCCCCTCGTTCCCCTCCTGTGTCCCCTCCTCTGTCTCCTGACCCGACGCCGCCCTCACACGTCTGGTCTCGCCGCCCCGCTCGTGCTCGTCCTGTCTCCCCTGTCCCGCGCTCTCACCCTATGTTGCTCCGTTCCCACGCGTCTCGTCCTCCCCTCCTCCCGTCTCCTCCTCCGTCTTCTCTTGTCGTTGCGTCTCCTCCTCTGTCCGACTACTTTCGTGCCGCTCGTCCTCTTGTTCCTCGGGTCCTTGCCTCTCTCGTTACCGACCCGTCTGTTCCAGTGTCGAGTCTTGACGCCCTCGTCGCTGCGGTCGCTGACTTCGCCTCTACCCGCCGCCTTGACTACGCCACCGCTCTGGTCTCTCACCCTGCCTGTCCTCCGTCTGTCGGGGGTGCTCCTGCCCTCGGCAGTGACGTCCTAGAGGACCGCCAGTTTGAGCTTGCTTTCCTGTCCGAGGCTGCTCCCCATCTCTGTTCCATGCTGCTAGTCCCTGAGGGTGACCCAGACGCTTTCGACATCCCGACCCCTCGTACTTACGCTGAGGCGGTTTCGGGACCCTGGGCCTCTCAGTGGATAGCTGCCATGGAGCAGGAGATGGCATCTTGGAGATCCACCGGCACCTTCGTCGACGCAGTTCCCCCACCTGGGGTGAACGTGGTCGATGGCCGCTGGCTCTTCAAGGTGAAGCGCCCTCCTGGAGAGCCGCCTGTCTTCAAGGCGCGCTACGTGGCTAGAGGCTTCAGTCAGCGCGAGGGGGTGGACTTCTTTCAGACTTTCGCTCCTACCCCGAAGATGACTACTCTTCGGGTTCTGCTACACGTAGCGGCTCAGCGTGACTACGAGCTTCACTCCCTCGACTTCTCCACTGCCTTTCTTCAGGGCAGCCTTCACGAGCAGGTCTACCTGCGTCGCCCTCAGGGCTTTACTGGCACCTTCCCCCCTGGGACCCAGTGGCTTCTGCGGCGGCCAGTCTATGGCCTGCGCCAGGCGCCTCGTGAGTGGCACGACACTTTGCGTGCTACCCTTGCTGACCTGCAGTTCTTTCCGTCCTCTGCAGACCCCTCGCTCTTCGTTCGTGCTGGCTCGACTCCGTTCTACATCCTCGTCTACGTAGACGACCTGGTCTTTGCCACTGCTGACAGGGACGCACTGGCCTCCGTGAAGGCAGAGCTGCTGAAGAGACACACCTGCACTGACCTTGGAGAGCTGCGCCGTTACCTTGGCTTGCAGATCTCCAGGGACAGAGCCGCGCGCACCATCACCCTGACTCAGTCACACTTGGTGCGCCAGGTCCTTCAGAGGTTCGGCCTTCAGTTCTCCTCCGCACAGCCCACCCCTCTTCCTCTGGACCACAGACTCTCCGCTCCAGTTCCTGAGGAGTCGGTAGATCCCAGTGGTCCTTACGCTGAGCTAGTGGGTTGCCTCATGTACCTTATGACTTGCACTCGCCCAGATCTCGCATACCCTCTCAGCATCCTGGCTCGTTTCGTGGCCACAGGCAGACACCGACCTCAGCACTGGTCTGCCGCTAAGAGGGTTTTGCGTTATCTTGCAAGTACATCGGGCATGGGGTTAGTGCTCGGCGGACGCAGGCCAGTGGTCCTTACTGGACACACTGACGCTTCTTGGGCAGACGACGCCGAGACGCTCAGGTCTTCTCAGGGCTACTGCTTTAGCCTTGGCTCAGGTGTTGTCTCGTGGAGAGCTACCCGCTCTTCGTCTGTTGCCCAGTCCAGCTGTGAGGCAGAGATCTACGCCGGTGCCATGGCAGCACAGGAGCTCCGCTGGCTGACCTTCTTGCTCACTGACTTAGGTGAGCGGCCTAGCTCTGCCCCGGTCCTGTACGCTGACAACAGGGCCATGATCCTCCTGTGTCAGGAGCCTCGACTCGAGGGCAGAGCGAAGCACATCCAGCTGCGGTACTTCCTCCTGCGTGAGCTACAGCAGCGTCGCCAGGCTCGCGTAGTACACTTAGCCTCCGGTGCCAACACAGCTGATATCTTTACGAAGGCGCTTGCGCCTAAAGATCATCAGCGGCACTGTGTACAGCTTGGTCTGGTTCCTGTAGTCTCTCACTTACTCGGGCCTTGACTTTGTACTGTCCTATATATCTGTGTGTACACTCAGACTGGACTTGTGTCCTCTTACAGTGGTTGGACTAGTAGTGCCGCCCTGTACTAGTTCTTGCCTTGCCTGTACTCCTTCTGACTGGTCTTTTAGACCCTTGTCTCAGAGGCTGGACTAGTAGTGCCACCCTGAGCTGCTTGTCTAGAACATTCCCCTATGCAGTCCAGGGGGTGTGTCAAACATGTTTAGTTATCATGCTTGTATAGACTGTATAGGGTCATCTTCTAGAGAGTACAACTGTTAGGTATATGTTTGTGTACTCTCTCTCTCTCAATTATCAATTTCACTGTTTGATACATTCACTAATGAAAAACCATAAAAAAGACTCATACAAAAGTTTGGCTATGACTCTGATTGGTCAGACAAAAAATTGAAGGCTACTCTGATTTTTCAGACTTTTTCAATGAGATAACTGTGACACCCATACCAAGGGAAGGCAGTGGACTCTGACGAATCAGACAGGTCCAAAACCAATTTGGGGGCCCGGTCCGCTGTCTGAAGGCATTGTGTGAATCGTGGCTAGGATAGGCGCCCTCTTTGACATAGGAATAGAATGTGGTAATACAAAAAAACAAAAAAACCAACAAAAAAAAAAAAAAAAAAACCGACAGTCACTCGCGCGTTCAGGAACCACTCTCTTTCCGATCCTCTTTCAGCACATACATAATCTCATGCGGAACCACGGAATCGTGAACGGTTCGTTGTATGGAGCCAGCAAATACTGCCCTGCACTTCCGTACCCTGCTTTCTCCAATGCCATTTTCAGCTCCTGGAACTTGTGCCCCAACACCGAGTGAGTGGCGAGACCTGAGGAGTCTATTTTTGAGGCGCCTAAAAAACACCGAGTGGCGAGACCTGAGAATGTGAGAGCACCCATGAGGCGGGGCGGAAGACAGTGCACTCTTGCATGCTCATGAGCCGCTCTCCTTTCTACTATCCTTTTTCAGCGGATACAAGATCTCATTCGTGCGAAACCACGGAATGGTGAACGGGTCATTGTATCGAGCGAGCACATACTGCCCTGCAATGCCGTACCCGGCTTTCTCCAGCGCACTCCTCAGCTCCTGCGATCTCTGCTGCAGCACCGAGTCAGTCGTGAGGCCAGAGAATGTGAGAGCACCAATCAGGCGAGCAGGCAGCTGGTGCACTCTCACTGCTGGGTTGGTGGGGACGGGGGTGTTGTCTGGTGTGAAGGATGCTGGTAACAGAAACTGCATCGTGGTTTTGCTTGAAGCTGTTGATTCGGAGGCTGCTGTCTCCGCTTCTGCTGCTGCCACAGTGGCTGTTACCACTTCTGTAATCACAGGAGCAGTCATGGCTATTTTCTGTGGCCCACCACCACCATCAGCGGCAGCAGCAGCAGCATCAGCGACACGGGTTTCTGTGATCACCGGTGCAGTCATTGCAATTTTCTGCCGCTCGTCCCCTCCCGTCCCCCCCCTTGCCACCTCTGCCCCAGGAACAGCTTTCCTGTTCTCAGCTGGACCCAGCACCCCTATGTAGCCTGCCAGGGCGAAGAACCCGCTTCTCGACCCGACACGCTGGGAGGAAGGGAGGAGAAAGGGGGTTGTGAGAGGTAAGAGGGGAGCGAGTTGAAGGGACAGCAGCACCTCTGCTGTTCTCTGCTGGACCCACCACCCCTGTGTAGCCTGCCATGGCGAAGAACCCAGTTCTGGAACCAGCACGCTGAGGGAAGAGGGGAATTGGCCGGAAGTTGATGGAAGCCATAAATCATCACGGAAGACTGTGAGCTAAAATTCAGGAGAAAAAAATGTATTCGAATTTTTTAAAAAATCTCTAGACTGATTGAGAAACAAATAGAGCTCTACAATGCCGGAAACCACGTCACGCTCACAAGGCCAGTCAATCGCCGCAAGGGCTCTGACGAACGACGAAGATAATCGAAGAAAGATAATCGTCACCTGAAAGTGGTCGCCGCCTTAGGTCACGTCAGCCAGGTCATTTTGAGTCGAGACAAAGCACACCCGACGAACAAAGTACACCCGACGAACAAAGTACACCCGACGAACGGCGACCACAATCTGATTATCGCCATTGTTACCTGAAAGTGGTCGCCGTCGTAGGTCACTTCAGCCGCCATCTGCGGCGGATACCGTCGAATCTCATATTGATCCGTCTTCGCTTCCACCGTAAATTGCGGCGTCTCTACCTCGATGCGACCCAGCACCGATCCCATGACGCCTCGTCGAAAGGTGACTTGGAGCAACGTGCCTTGGCGCGCTGTGGCTCGGCACGCTGCCGTGGTGAGCGCCAGCCGTGCAGATCCAACCAGGTCCTCCACGCAAAACAAGTGCCTTGCGCAGCGGCAAAGCGATCAAGGAAGGATAGGGGGTCGAGGAAAAGAGCGAGTCTAGAAGCTAGTTCCTGAACTCCCACGAGAACTCCTTAGTCCCGAGGGAGACCAAACTTGATGCAGACGACATTCAGGTTCTTGGCTGGAGGATTTCCTCACAGGGGTGTCGTACACTTGGCCCCTAACGAAAGAACCCCTTCGCGAACTCAGTAACTTTTGGCCACCACACGCACACCACACGATTCCCGCCTTCTTTCTCGTGAGGGAAAGGGGGGAAGGGAAATCGAGGGTTACCGATGGCTGACGGTGACGGCGTAAGCGAATTGACGAAGAGTTGATAACTCTCTAGATGTCATCCATCGTTACGCCATCACGTTCTGCCTGGCTAGTCAGCACATGTAGCTATACAGCCTATCATCTGTTACTTGTTTTCATTAAAAACCTCCACCCTTTGATACGTCTTTCTATGGGCACTTACTTCTTCCTGAGCAAACGGACAAGCGTCTTCCATATTTAGTTTGTTGAGAGCAGAACAGCAGATGGAACAACCGTTGAATGTTGATTCATTCCCCCACCACCTGGCAGGCAGAAGGCTGTCGCCAACCGAACTTCAGAAATGCGTTAGTTGCACCAAACTTGTGCAACAAACCAGCCCATTCCTTTAGTACTGCAGCGTCACACAAATCGTGACATTATTATATGCAGGAGAGGTTTTATTTGCAAGCAGGCAGCGGTGTTCCGCACAGATTAGGGTTTCCTGGCTTAAAGGAAGCCCGTTTCAGCTTGCTAAGAGCAGCAGGAACAGCCCCTGACAGCCGGTTCCCTGCCAGCAGCACCTGGCCGATAGTTCGCGGCCAAGCCGCAGGAATGGGACCCGACAGCCCGTTATACGACACGCCCAGTCCCTTCAGCTGCTGCATGCCGCTCACCCCAGCCGGGATTGCCCCTGCGAGGGCGTTTCTGTCTAGAAGCAGCCATTTGAGGCTTTTAAAGGAGCTGATTGTAGAGGGGATGGCGCCGGAGAGTCGGTTGGAGGAGAGGTAGAGGGCGGTGAGGGAGGGGGCGCAGGAGGGGGAGGAGAGAGGGGTGGGCGGGCCGGAGAGGGCATTGAAGGCGAGGTTGAGAGAGACAAGGGCTTGCTGGCCCTGGCAGAAGTGGGGGATGGGGCCTGAGGGGTGGAGAGGGGAGGAGGGAAAGGGGGGGAGGGAAAGGGGGGGAAGGCGAAATGGAAAACAAAGGGTTAGGGCTGAGGGCGGTAAGGGCCCGCAGGCCTTGAAAGATAGGGGAAGTGGATGGAAGATAGCGGGTTTGGGATAGAAGAAGTGGAAGTATGGACAGCTGCACACCCCTTCTAATAATATTCACAGCTCGAAGACTAACCTGCAGTTTTCCGGTCAGCTTACCTGTCAGATAGTTGGCCCCCAGGTCCAAGTTAAACAGCTGGGGTAACGTGGTGAGGCCTTGGGGAATTCTCCCTGTGAACTTGTTAAATCCCAGGTCCACAGCAGCGATGCTCTTGGGCAGGCTGGAAAACGGCTGCAAGCTGCCCGAGAAGTTGTTGCGGCTCAAGAAGAGGGCCAGGAGCACCCTATTTGCAGGCTTGAAGCAATTTGCTGGAACGGCACCAGTCAGACGATTACGTGAAAAATCAACGCTTCCAAGGCTGCCCGAGTTGCTGCACAGGATTTGCGGAAAGGTGCCCGAGAAAAGATTCTCCGAGAAGTCGATGAAGCTTACCGACTCGCTGAACTGGATCGTGTTGAGATTTCCTGACAGCCTGTTCCGGCTTAAGCCAATGAGAAAAGCTTTTATCTGCTGCCCGCTCAAGTCATCCGAAAGCCGGTTCCAATCCAGAACAAGCCCGGACAATTCCTTTTTCAGAAGGGCAGGCGGAATTCTGCCTGAGAGCCGATTCGTGTTCAAAAGTAAACCCCGAAGCGTCGGCAGCGTCGCAAGGGCAGCTGGAATCGGCCCGGAAAGAAAATTTATCCCGAGATCCAAATCTGATAACGAAACCATCGCGGCGTACGCAGCAGGACGCTGTGGTAACCCGCCGGAGAAGAAATTTCGCGACGCGGACAGAGAGTAAAGTTTCGGCATACGAAAAAAGGCGACGGGGAGAGGACCAGCGAAGCAGTTATCTTGGAGATCGAGAAATTGAAGTTTCGTAAGCCGGGAAAGCGACCGCGGGACCGAACCAGCGAGCCATAGATTCGACAGACGGAGGTCAACCAGATCCGTCAACTGGCCGATAGAAGCGGAGAGAGTCACGGGGACCTTTCCGCCTCGTTCGCGCGCGGTACGGTTGCAAAGGCGCGGCGTCGGCGGGAGCAAGAGCCGGCTGACGCTGCTCGTGAGGTTCAGCTCTACAACAGCGCCGTTCGCGGCGCATGTCACGCCGGGCCACGCGCACGCGTTCGGCTTGTTCGCCGGAATAGGCAGCTGCGCGGCCGTGAAGATCGCCGTAAGAGCCGCCGTGTTCGCCGCCGCAGTCTGCGGCAGTGAGGCTGCAGATGCCGCGCCGCTCAGCCCTAAAGCTGTTGACAGGCTGTCATCGCCGCTGGTTCCGCCCACCGTCGCTGCTTCCGCTCGCTCCGCGGGTACTACTAGTAGTTTCTCCGCCGATGTTCTCTCCGCCCGCCGCGCCGCTAGAAATTGCGCCGCGGGAGGCAGAACCGTCCGGAGGGAGACTCGTTCGCGGCGAGCAGAAGACGGCCTCGATATAAGCGGCCTCGATATGGGCTTGAGAGCGGTGGCTGATGAGCAGTACGCAAGCAGGAGAACGATGCACGCGGCTGCGGTAGCGTGAGCGCGCAGCGCGTAAGTAATGGTGGTTGAACGTGGAATTGGAGGGTATTCCGTGCCGGCCATTGTGAAAGCTTGGCTCAAGCTTGCGAAGCTCGACTCCCGAGTGTGTTGGGCGAGAAATCCCTTGAAAACCGAAACCTACCGGGCGTAAGAAACGATGAAGCGCCGCGATATAGGGAAAGAAGGAAGAAGGGATACGAGCTGACGAATATGCAAATAGGGGAGAGCTCGTCCCGTTTATAACCTACCCTGAGCCAACACCCGATCGTGAGGAAGTGCGATGCGCGCGAGCGAGCGACGCGATGAGGCAAAATGGCTGCTGTTGCTGCATGGTGCAGCGCAAACAGACCAACCAGATGGATGCTTGGAGCAAGGAGCAGAGGAGAGGTTGGGCGCTGGCGGGAGGAGGATATATGGTTGCAACATCAAGGGCATGGTCCGAAAAAATGCCGAAAGCTCGAACTTTCAAAGTGGTTTCACGCGATTCTGTGTTCCTTCGTACGATCAACTACGGTGCAGCGAGGTTCATTCACTGCTCGAGCGTTCTGTAGGAAGTCTGGAGGGGGGGAAGGTAAGGGAGTCGGCATGGAGGTTTGGAGGAGGCAAGGGATTGGGCAGGGGTGGGAAATCGTGGGTGGTAATTTGTAAAAGGTAAAGTGCGGTCCACTATATTAGAATGCTCTGCAGTACGGTGAGAGAGCACAAAATATTCTTCTACGCCGCAAAATCAAGTTGCTATTTTCGGGGTTAGGAGGGGTGAGCAGTTGGATGGGGGTCGGACTCGGAGCCATCACTCGATGTCCAATCAGCGGCCATCAGGAGAAAAAACGGTGTGAGGACAGCTCACCACACTAAATCAACATAATCTAGCTGAGACCAGGTTTTGAACTTCTAGCAAAAATCACCCCTCCAAAAACCCCTCGAGCTGCTTAGCTGAGAACACTTTGCAAGCAGCCTCCGGTGTGGGTTGAAGTCTCGCCATTTGGGAGTCCCCACCCCAACAGCCCATGGTTGACACCCGCTAAGTGGGTAATGCCCGATAAGCTATTTTGACGTCACTCGGTGACGTCCGCGTGACGTTCATTTTGCTTATTACGAGGGCTACACAAGCACATTGAATAATGACGAAATGCGAAACATGCCGGAAACCTTTTTTAGGGTACCGAAACCGAAGCGCCATGTCAGTAAAAGTCAGGTTTTTGACGTAACTATGCGGTAACAATCTGTAAAAACTTTAGTACACCAATTTTATGCTTAAAGAGAGTTTTTTTCACGCGGCTCAAGCCTGCTCCGCGTATAATTCAAACCACGGGCAAGCGGGACATTAGCCCAGAAATTGCACAGTAACTCTCGGGCAGAATGTTGAACATTTTCGACCTGACTTTGGGGGTCAATGCAGTTCAGATCGGTACCTGGTGGAGGAGACTAAACGTAGGGGGACACAAGCAGGCGAGAATTGCAATTGGGACGCTTGTGGTGACAAAATCAGGCAAGAATTGCAATCTGGACTGTTCGTCTGAGAACCGTAGCGTGGGACAGGTGTATCCTGACGTCACAGCATGGGACATCAGGTTTCGCGCCAGCACGGCTGTACTGTAATTCACCAAACATGCGGAATACGGGCTGCGGGGAACAACAATAGTAAACCAGCGTCAATCGCAGTCAACTAAAGGTTCAATTTGAGCTCACGCGTTGTAGTGACAGAAGCAACCACGGGCACTAGAACTAAGACGTCCATATCAATACTACATAGAGATTTGCATGCTATTATGTAAGTAGGCCAAAGAGGGCAGGCATCCATGACTCACGTTGGTTTACTCCAAGATCAGGTTCATGGGTTCAATGGGTTGGCAGGGTTCCACGCATACGCAACTAGCACGAGAAAGCCCGTGGTCAATGCGAACCACGCCACAGCGTTATCTGCATGAAGCAAAATTACGTAAGAACACAACTTGGCCAGACGATGCATAGACGATGCCAGGAACTCGAAGTATGATGAGACGATGCGTTTACCACGTACCTTGCTGCAGCTTTATCAGCCTCGGCCGATCGTCAATTTCCGACTCGGACTCCGAACCATCTCCCCTTGCCGCTGCTGCTGCCATCCTATCGATTTCTTCCATATCGATCGACCCCCCCCCAAAGGTCTTTCCGGACGGGGCCCGAGATGTGAAGGGGAAACGCAATGGCGGGAGGGAGTTGGAGAACTTGAAAAACGAGGGTGGCAGCCAGCTTGGTTTTGTCGATGCTTCTTCCCTGCTTTCGTCGATGCTTCTGGTGCTGTCAGCAGTTGTAAACCTCTCGAAAGGTGGATCTGATGATGGTAAATCTGGGGCTGTTTGTTGGTTGGACTGTTGGGTACCCTGTCCTGCTGTCTCAACCAATAATGCTGCTGCTGGTGCACCTGCCCCTGCTGCTGCTGCTGCTGCTGCTGCTGCTGGTGCACCTGCCCCTGCTGCGGCTGCTGCTGGTGCACCTGCCCCTGCTGCGGCTACTGCTGGTGCAGCTGCCACTGCGGCTGCTGCTGCTGCCGATGAAGGCATGATTGGCACGGCTACTGTTGGGATTGCGCTTCGGGGAGATTGATTTGGTAGTGAGGAAGAATCAGGGGGGTTCGGAGGATCCTGTGGCATGCGCTTGATAGGTATGGGAGGGAGGCCCGGAACAGTAGGCAGGTTAGGAGTAGCAGGGAGCAGAGGAGCCGGGACGGTTGACTCACTGTTGGCCGCATTTGACCTGACAGAGCGTTTGCAGACGAAGGTGAGTTGGGGGGGTGGGGGAAGGCCGTTCAGGCTCCTCAAAGGTTAGGTGGGATCAGGAAGGAGGGGAGCCGGGAGAGTGGACTCACTGTTGGCCGCATTTGACCTGACAGAAAGGGTGCAGAAGCAGGTGGGTTATAGAGAAGGGTGGGAATGAGGGAGAGTCTTGAGACGTCTCAAAACAGGGACTGTGGACTCACTGTTGGGCGCATTGACCCGAAAGAACGTTTGCAGAAGCAGGTGGGTTAAAGGGCGGCTGGGAATGGAGGGGGGTAAGGATAAGTGAGAGGAAACGAGAGAACGAGGGAGGGCTGAAAAGGACGAAGAGGAGGGAGGGATGGAAAGAGGAGTATGAGATTGTGGAGGAGTCTCTGCGAAGTTCGCACAGCAAAACCTTAGTCTCCCCACAGCAATAACTTATTGAAGTCTGTGTGTGAAGTTAAACGTGTGTTTGAAAACCCTTTGGACCATACAGACATCCAAGCTGGCTTCTCGCATGATGTTTAAGAGTCACTCATACCCACACATCCACCTTATAGTCCCTCACATGGACTCTGGTCATAATAAAACCCCTTTGGCGCTTACTGACGCCAGCTGACCCAGCATTAGCAGAAGTCGACTCAAAAGCCACCGACGACCGTACAGCCATCTCACATCGACACTGAGGACGGTGCAGCCATCTCACTCTCATTGGGCAATTGCCATGACTAAGGCCCTGTGAGTAGGACGAACTGAAAGGTCCGACTTTTGAGGCGCCTCAAAAGACGAAGAACGAGCTGAAAGATCCGAACTGACGCCAGCTGACCCAGCATTAGCAGAAGTCGACTCAAAAGTAACTGACGGCAGTACAGCCATCTCACCTGGACTTTCGCTATGAATAAGGCCCTTTGAAAGGGACGTTTTACGAAGTAAATTTAGCAAGTAAAAGATCCCTACTCAAACAGCCCCCTCATACAAAGCTCACCTGACTTCTTCCCCAACTCTAAAATCCTTTGACTAGGACGGTAACGACAAGCAATGCCACCACCAGCAGCTGTCCCAAGCAGCGATTAACTTGTGGCTATACAGCAGTTTCAGAAATCACTTTCCGAGCCGTCTGAAAAAACGTACAGGCATCTCACCTGGACTTTAGCCAAGACTGCATCCCTTTAACCAGCAGACCGATGACGAGCAATCCCGCTGAGGTGACTTTTGAGTCGACTTAAAAGTCATCTGAAAAAACGTACAGGCATCTCACCTGGACTTCAGCCATGATTGGATCCCTCTAACCAGCAGACCGATGACGAGCAATCCCGCCGCCAGCTGACCCCGCGTTAGTTGCACCACAGAGCCCTCCGCGATCCCTAACCTCCCTTTCAGGCTCGGAGGGAGAGGCAGGGCCTGCACGCTTTCCTGCAGCTGCTTCGGCAGGGCAACAGGCTCGGCTGCAGCCGTCGCGAGGCTCTGCCACGTGTTGCTAGACGCGTCTCGAGCGCGCCTGACAGCCTCCTGAGCGGAGGTAGAAATGGCGGGAAGAGGGTTGCCGCCTATCACCATCGCTGCTTCTGCTGCTGTTGTTGTAACAGCTGCGTCTGTTGCTTCTAGCGGGGAATCTCCTGGAGAGGATTTTGAAACTGATTCTGCGGCTGCGGCTGCGGCTTCGGCAGTGGGAGCCGCCGCGGCTTCTGAAGCGGCTTCAGAAGAGGAGGTATCACCAGACACGGCACCAGGCACGGCACCAGGCACGGAGGTATTAATAGCCACGGTGTCAGCAGCAGTTACGGAACTACTAGCAGCAGGTACGGAGTCAGTAGTAGCAGGGGTCTCCGTGGTACTGGGAGAAGAGCTAGCAGCCGCCGTTTTGCTTCCTGCACTTTCCCGCCATCCGCCGTGTCGCTTGTGCACGTTCTTCTCGTGAACCGCGTCTTCTTTGGATTGCTTCGCCTCGACGGTTACCAGCCGTCTTTGCTGGCGAAACTCGCCCTGGCGAAGTCTAAGGGTGTTTCGCAGAGGAGAAGTTCGCAAGAAAGATGTTCGCGAAGAGAAACGGGCGTAGGCTGACGTGTTTGGATTCGCGAAATTGGTCGACGCGAGAGCCTGCGGTGGGATGTTGGACGAATGGGATGACCCGCTTGAATCACTGATTGCATTACGTAATGTTAGGTTGCAACTATAACCCACGAACGCGGGACATGTGGTCGTTGAGGCCGCCATTATATCGAAAATTGAGACAGCGCCACGGAAATTGAGGTGAGCGCCAAATGCGCGCAGTAAGAGAAGCAAAGTCTTATAAAGCCTAATCCGTCTGTACTTCCAGATCAGACCAGTCAGCAGCAGGTTAATACCATACCAGCGTGCCGAGTATGTGTCTCATATCAACCCCGTTGAAAGGCAAGGTGAGCGGTTTCATGAGGGTGGATGCCGAATGCTAGTCAAGCTTCTACTCAGCTGAAGTTCCAGTCACCAAAATAACTAAGTCCTCAGCATTAGGGCGAGTCACTAAAGTACGTCCGATTGCGGTTGGAAAATATATCTTGCGTTCTAGCGCGGTTAGATCATTTTGAAAACGGTTTAGTAGGGTTCATAGAAAACGTACTTTTCCGACACGCCCATAGTTCCAGTTGCTCAAGGAATGCAAGGTAGAATTGAGGCCTTCATTTCGTATCGCAACCGAACTGTACTGCTCTCAGTTACCTTCAACAGAAGTAGAAACCGTACTGTACCTTCTTCTGACGTCTTGAGACGAAATGTTATGCACCTTATGCTCCCTCCACAGAAGCAGCAGGTCATCTGTGTGGCTTGAAAACGCGGGAAACAGAAGCTTGACTTGCGGCGGGAAGTCAGTCGAGTAGCGGCAGAAAGCCAACAGCCAATGGGAGTGGAGGGAGCTTTGGTGGTGCTGGTGGTGAGTCACCACGGCACTGGTGTGACCCTTGATTTTGGCGCCAAAGCCCGTTGCGGTATCAGAAGCGGATGAGCTGACGTCAGGGCAATCCGAGAATTTGACGATGGGGGTTTGCTGGCATGGCAAGTACTCAGTCGCGGATAACCTTTTCGTTGCTGTCATCCTCTGGCAAATCTCTTCGTGCACTGCATATGTTGTAGTTCCTAACCCCGTTATCTCGTCATACCCACCCCCCCCCTCCCCCCCCATTATATCCACACGTTTGCTGCTCAAATATCAGGTATTATATAATGGTAGCAAACCAGTAATACAGCAGAAGCTTTCTTCTCCATTTTATATGATTGACAAATCCTCGTACATGTAAGTACCGGTAGTACCAATATCGAGGCGTGCATGCAGCCTTGAGCCTCCTGCGACGCGATCTGCCTTCTTCCTTATCGTGGCAGGCCTTTCCGCTGCATTCGTGCAAGAGCGACCTAATCACTGCGCCGTTCGAGTCTTCATTCTCGGCCTTAGCAGCTCATGTAGGCCAGAATGACGCGCGCGCGACTGTTCTTGTCCGCGGCTCGCGGGTTCCTCGCGAGGCGCGGAGATCCAACGGCTGGCAGCCACTCTGCTGGTGCTGCTGTTACCGCGGATTCCTTCCTGTGCCACGTCAGCAGGGCTTTAAGCTCCTGTTCGTGGATCCGATCCGCAGATCTCGATCCAAGCCGTCCAGAGATCGGGCCTGATGATCTCAACCGCTCGCTCCTTCGAAATACGTCCACGTGTTCCTTAGTCTCCTCCGTGCCGCACAATGGCGGCTCGATCTGCCGAGCCGCTAGACCTAGAAGCTACAGGTACAGCACGAACGCCGCGAGCGCGACCGACGCTGCTGGATTAGCGGAGGCCGCCGGATTGCACGACGACCCGAACGAGGGTAGCATAAGCGAGGGTAGTACGCGCAACGAGGCGATTCGCAACGTGGCGATCATAGCGCACGTGGATCACGGCAAGACGACGCTCATGGACCGCCTCATCCGCGCCTCCAGCTCCACCGCTGCTACCACCGCCGCCAGCGGCGGCGGCGGCGGCGGTGGGGGAGGGGGAGGGGGAGGGGAGGAGGGGGAGGAGGGGGAGGAGGAGGGGGAGCAGGTGGCGGGGGTTCGGCGGCAGCCGATTTGCCGTGCGATCGAGTGATGGACTCCATCGCTCTGGAGCGCGAGAGAGGAATCACGATCGCGTCCAAGGTACGCTTCTCACTCAGTCAGGGTTTAGGAGAGGGTCAGGGTTTAGAGGTTGCAGTTTTCTCTTATTCATTGTCTCGCAAAAGTCGATGAAAGGCAGGGGTCAGGATTTATGCTTTAAGTTAGCAGAAGCCTGATGCTTATAAGTGGGATTGCCATAGGGATAAACCCCAGCCCTTCACACACCCCACCTCAGAGCCCTTCACACACCCCACCTCAGCCCGTCTCGCACTTCCATTTGCTCGGTTCTTTCTCGCCTTGTTTAGGTTATGCGGATGTTTCTGATTCTAACATGACTTGAGTGAATGTGACATCTCCGATTGTGACATCAATGTGACTGCCGTATCTTGACATGTGCGAATGTGACATCTCATATGTGTGATCGTGACATGTGTGTGTGAATGTGACATGCCATGTGTGTGAATGTGATGTGTGATTGTGACACGTGTAAATGTGACTGGCGTGAATGTGACGTGTGTGAATGTGGCTGGTGTGATTGTGACGTGTGTGAATGTGACTCATGCGATTGTGACAGTACACGTCGGTCACATTCAGAGGAACCACTCTCAATCTTGTGGACACACCTGGCCATGCGGACTTTGGAGGGGAGGTGAGATCTGGGGGAGGTGAGGTCTGGGGGAGGCTAGATATCTTGGTCAGGTTAGGGGGAGGTAAGGACAAGTGAGTTGGGGGGTGGGTGGGTTTCAGGGAAGGTGAGATCTGCTGTTGGTTGAGTGGGAAGCCCTGCCACGCCATGGCCCATGATTGAGCTCAAAAGGGTGCTATGCTATGCCATCTCATACAGCCACTATTCTCGTCATACCCGCTTTTTTTGCTCACCCCAGGTGGAGCAGGTGACGTGGCATGGTGGTGGATGGGGCACGACTACCGGTTGACGTGGCAGGCGGAGGGTCCCTTGGCGCGGCAGACCAAGGTTGTGTGGGCTCGCCCACTGAACCAGTGATCACAACCACTTACCTTGCTCTCATCATGCGTCACTATGCTCTCCTCTCATCCCCTTCCCAAACCCTCCTCAACGCCCCACCACACCCCAGGTGGAGCGGGTAATGGGCATGGTGGACGGAGCGCTCCTGCTGGTCGACGTGGCGGAGGGTCCCTTGGCACAGACCAAGTTTGTGCTGGGGAAGGCTCTGCAGAGGGGCTTAAAGCCCATTGTCGTGCTCAACAAGTGCGACCGGCCCTCAGGTGATTTCCACAGCACGTTAGGTGATTCCAACAGAGCTTCAGGTGATTCTAGTAGAGCGTCAGGTGATTCTAGTAGAGCTTCAGGTGATTCTAGTAGAGCTTCAGGTGATTCTAGTAGAGCTTCAGTTGATTGCAAAAAAGCCATCCTTTTGGGAAGTCGCAGAAGGCCCCTTAGCCCAGTCCAAAAAGTTTGCCATGCAACCTATTGTTTGCGTCATGCCTTTCAACGTAGTAGTTTGCCATGCCATGCCATGCCATGCCAATCTGATGCAACGGTTTCTTGCCATGTGGTGAGACGACGGCATAAGCTTTGATTCTGCAGGGTGTTTTTGTGAATTCTCAAAGACACATTGCCATGGTGCTGGATAGTGAGACGACGGCATAAGCTTTGATTCTGCAGGGTGTTTTTGAGAATTCTCAAAAACACCTTGCCATGTGCTGGATAGTGAGACGACGGCATAAGCTTTGATTCTGCAGGGTGTTTTTGAGAATTCTCAAAAACACCTTGCCATGTGCTGGATAGTCAGACGACGGCATAAGCTTTGATTCTGCAGGGCGTTTTTGAGAATTCTCAAAAACACCTTGCCATGTGCTGGATAGTGAGACGACGGCATAAGCTTTGATTCTGCAGGGTGTTTTTGAGAATTCTCAAAAACACCTTGCCATGTGCTGGATAGTCAGACGACGGCATAAGCTTTGATTCTGCATGGTGTTTTTGAGAATTCTCAGAAACACCTTGCCATGTGCTGGATAGTGAGACGACCGCACAAGCTTTGATTTTGCAGGGTGTTTTTGAGAATTCTAAAAAACACCTTGCTATGTGCTGGATAGTGAGACGACGGCACAATCTTTGATTTTGCAGGTTGTTTTTTAGAATTCTCAAAAACACCTTGCCATGTGCTGGATGGCGAGACAACGGCAGAAGCTTTGATTCTGCAGGGTGTTTTTGAGAATTCTCAAAAACACCTTGCCATGTGCTGGATAGTGAGACGACCGCACAAGCTTCCCTTTATTCGTCTCTCCATCCCCCCCTCGTTTCCTCCCTTCCTGCTGCTTTCCCGCACCGATTGGCAGTCACGTCACCACGCATTTGGTGCACCACGCATTTGGTGCATCAAATGAAGTTGAGTCAGCTATCTTCGACCTCTTGCCTGATGCTCTTACTCCCCTCCATTATCGCACACACACTCCCCGAGAAAACACCACTTGGTGGTGGTTTTAGCCATACGTGGCAGCGGCTGTAAAACACTGTTGTTTTAGAAAAAATCTTGCTCAGAAAAAAACTCTCGTGAATTTGTAGGGCAAAATTGATGGTAACTAGTTTCGGCAGGTGGCGACCTTCATCAGGCCATACACAAAAGAGCAAATGAGCAAGGCTAAATAGGTAGGAGCTCGTGAACCTCCCAAGGCCAAAATGCGGCTCGAGGGAATTCTCGGAGTCTGAACATCTAGGCTAGAAAAAATGAAATAAGTGTAGCTACACCTAACACTTTCTAGCTGAAACTGAAAAATATCCTGTACGCTTCAGAAGCTTCCACGCAATAATAGCACGCCGATCTTCAAATGTCTCGTGCGACAATATCCATAGGTGATTTTTGAGTCGACTCAAAAATCACAGGTTGGCAGTCACGTCACCACGCATTTGGTGCACCACACATTCGGTGCACCACGCATTTGGTGCATCAAATGAAGTTGAGTCAGCTATCTTCGACCTCTTACCTGATGCTCTTACTCCCCTCCATTATCCCACACTCCCCCCTCCTCTCCACTATCTCCAGTCACCACCCAGATGGTGCGTCAAGAGGAGTCAGCCATAATACTTGATGCTCCTTATCCTCTCCCTCCCACTATCCCCCCCTCCCCTCCCCTCCTCTCCACTATCTCCAGTCACCACCCAGATGGTGCATCAGGTGGAGTCAGCCATGTTTGACCATGTTGTGCTCGTACTCATGCTCATCCGTCTTTCCCTTTTTCCTGTCCCTACCCCTCTCCCCCCCCCCCCCCTCCTCTTTCCTCCTTCCCAATACCACAGTGACCACCCAGATGGTGCATCAGGTGGAGTCAGCCATCTTCGACCTCTTTGCTTCCTTTGACGCCACAGGTGACGATCGCAACCACGTGTCGTATCATGTGGCTATTGGTCTGTGTGATTGAGGACTATGTCCATGTGTCATGTGCCGACTGGTTTACGTCATAGGTCCTTGCAAGAATCACAGCGTGAGTGTGTTCTTGATTCTTGCTGGCACAGGTATTAAATTGTCCCTGGACCTAAAAATTTCAACCCTCCGACCAGCAGCTTGACTTCCTTCCCACCCACTGCCCTACACCTCACGCCCCACGGCCCACAACAGCTCACAATGGCCGGGCCGAGAGCAGAACCAGCAACAGCAGCAACTCTTACTAACTTCTTCCATCCCCCACTCCCCACCTTCTGGGAAACACCTTCCAGAGGAGCAGCTGGACTTCCCTGTGCTCCACGCCTCGGCCCGGCATGGCTGGGCACGCTCCTCGCGGCTCCTCGTGGCTCCTCGTGGCCGCCACCCAAACTCACAATGGCAGGGTCGGTCGGGACCAGCGTCAAGATCAGCAGCAGCTTTTACTAATTACTCTCACTTTCCCCTATCGCCCGCCCCCCTCCCCCCTCGCCCCCCCCCCCCCCCATTCTACGAACGCCCATCAGAGGAGCAGCTGGACTTCCCTGTGCTCTACGCCTCGGCCCGACACGGCTGGGCGAGCTCCTCTTGGCCGCCACCGCAGCTCTCGATGGCAGGGTCCGACCCTGTATCAGCAGCAGCAGCAGCAGCAGCAAAGGGGGAGAGTGGGGTGGTGCCTATTCTTGAGGCGATTCTTGACCGTGTTCCTCCGCCAGTCGTGGACCCAACAGCGCCCTTCCAGATGCTGGTATGCAGAACATATTAACTGAAAGCTCTATGAAGATGTCATAGGGTCCTTACCTTAGACGCTGAAACATGCTTGCACTAATCTTTCGATTCGGAACCGAGTTCAGTTCAGTTGTCTGAGATCCTCGGCCCTCGGCAACTTACACGGGCAAGCAACTTGTGCTTTTACTTTCAATCTTTCTGCTGAACGAATTGCTCACTCACGCTGCTGCTCATCATCTCTATAATCATGGCTAGCGGCACGTGGATCTAGCAGCGCCCATCCAGATAAGTTGATTTTTGAAAATTGACAAGAATCAACTTTCATAATCTCTATTAACTTGGCTAGCGGCACGTGGATCTAACGGCGCCCGTCTGGATGCTGGGATGCTGATTGACAGAAGAGCAGTCACCATTCCCTGGAAGGGCGCTGTCGAAAGGTATTCTGGCACTTGTTTCTTTTTAATCCGAAAAAACATCCTCGAAGGGCGCTGCTGGAAGGTACGCTGGCACTTACCAACTCCTCCTTCTCCAGTACCCCCCTCTACACCACCCCCTCTCCTCCCTTTCTCCTCCCCTTCTGAGACAACTATTGAGGTGCCTGAGAAATTTTATGCTGGCGCTTACCAGCTCCTCCTCCTTCTCCATGACCCCCTTCTGCCTACCTTCTTCCTCCCTACCTTCTTCCTGCTCTTCCTTACCCACATCTAATATTGTGCCAGGTGGGATTGATTGACAAAAACCCGTTCCGAGGCCACCTGCTGCTTGCCTGAGAGCACTGACCTGCCTCTTACCCTTTCCCATCCCCTTCCCTGCCCTTCTCCTTCCCCTTCCCTGCCCTTCCCCTTCCCCTTCCCTCCCTTTCCCCTTCCCCTCCCCTCCTTTCCCCTTCCCTTCCCCTCCCTTTCCCCTTCTCCTTCCCTTCCTTCCCCGTCCCTGCTACGATGCCAGGTGTCATTAATCGACAGGGACCCGTTTCTAGGCCGCCTGCTGATTGGTCGGATAGCATCGGGTGTGGTGCGCGTGAACGACAGGGTGCGAGCGCTGACGAGGGACAGCGAAGGGGAGGCGTTTTCGCTGGAGGAAAGCAAGGTGGGCTGGGAGGAAAGCAAGGTGGGTAGAGGGTCCTATACGTGGGTTACAAAGAGAGAGCACTTGCCGTCCCGGGTGTGGTGCGCGTGGTGTGGGGGACAGGGTGAGGAAGGAGACACATGTGGCAGGGGTGGTGCGCCTGGGGGACAGGGTGCGGGTGCTGACAAGAGACAGCGAAGGGGAGGCGTTTTCGCTGGAGGAGAGCAAGGTGGGCTGAGAGTCCTGTACGCGCGTTACAAGGGTTTGCGTGGGGGACAGAGTGCGAGCACCAGACGACGAAGGGAGGGACCGCGAAGGGGAGGCGTTTTCGTTGGAGGAAAGCAAGGTGGGCTGGGAGGAGAGCAAGGTGGGCTGGGAGCTGGGGAGAATGTGGTTCCGAGGCGCCTGAAGCCACAAATAGTGTCGGGTGCAGTGTAAGGGGGCCAGGGCAAGAGCGCTGACAAGGGAGGGACAGCGAAGGGGAAGCGTTTTCCCTGGAGGAGAGAAAGCAAGCTGGGCTGAGGGTTGGTGCATGTGGGGGGCAGGGTGCGAGCACTATCAAGGGACAGCCAAGGGAGTGCATTTTCGCTGGGAAGAAGCAAGGTGGGCTGAGGGTTGGTGCATGTGGGGGGCAGGGTGCGAGCACTATCAAGGAACAGCCAAGGGAGTGCATTTTCGCTGGGAAGAAGCAAGGTGGGCTGAGGGTTGGTGCATGTGGGGGCAGGGTGCGAGCACTACCAAGGAACAGCCAAGGGAGTGCATTCTCGCTGGGAAGAAGCAAGGTGGGCTGAGGGTTGGTGCATGTGGGGGGCAGGGTGCGAGCACTATCAAGGGGCAGCCAAGGGAGTGCATTCTCGCTGGGAAGAAGCAAGGTGGGCTGAGGGTTGGTGCGCAAAACAGGACTGAGGGGAAGGAGACACATGTTGCAGGTGTGGTGCGGTGTGGTGCGGTGTGGTGTGTGTAGGAGAGTGAGAGCACTGACGAGAGAGGGAGAGCGACGGAGAGGCATTCTCACCGGAAGAGAGCAAGGTGGGGTGAGAGGGGGGTCATGGTTTGAGGCACCTTACGGCATGAGTGAGGCACCTTACGGCATGAGTGAGGCACCTTACGGCATGAGTGAGGCACCTTACGGCATGAGTGAGGCACCTTACGGCATGAGTGAGGCACCTTGCGGCATGAGTGAGGCAGCAGCAGAGGACATAGTGGCGGTGGCAGTGGCAGTGGCAGTGGCGGTGGCAGTGGCAGTGGCAGTGGCGGTGGCAGTGGCAGTGGCAGTGGCGGTGGCAGTGGCAGTGGCAGTGGCGGTGGCAGTGGCAGTGGCAGTGGCAGTGGCAGTGGCGGTGGCGGTGGCGGTGGCGGTGGCAGTGGCAGTGGCAGTGGAAGTCACCTTTTCCAGGGACGTGTGGGAGTCAGAACGCCCCGCTGCTGTTTCCCACTGTTTCCCATCCCCCCCCAACCCTGTCATGCCATCAGGTGGTGAAGCTGGTCAAGCGGAGGGGAGTAAAATCCGAAGATATGAGTGAGGCAGCAGCAGGGGACATAGTGGCAGTGGCGGGGATGACACACGCACACGTCTCCCACACTCTTGCTGATCTCTCGGTATGTCTTCCTCCACACCGAGGCAGTCTGCCAGTAGGCCATTACTTACGGGGTAGTGGCAGTGGCAGGGATGGCACACGCTCACGTCTAGTTTTGACTAGGCCTTCAGTGTCAAGTCAACGACTTGCTCTCTTCACACCTTCACTTTTGAGTCGACTCAAAAGTCGTCTAGTTTTGACTAGGCCTTCAGTGTCAAGTCAACGACTTGTTCTCTTCACACCTTGTGACTGCCTTGTGGCCACCTTGTGGCCTCACCTTGTGCCTTGCTCTCTTCACCTTGCACTCTTCACCCTTGTGACCTTCAGTGTCAACGACTCGCCTCTGTTCGTCCATTCACCTTCACCCCTTTCTTCCCCTCCTGCTTCAATCCCTCCCACGTACTCTTTCACACACCTCCCTCCCCTCCAGGTTTCAACGCCCCTCCCAGTGGCCGCCATTGATCCCCCCACAATCGCCATGACCTTCAGTGTCAACGACTCGCCTCTGGCAGGGAGACACGGCACCCAGGTGAGGCCTCAGGTGCCCAGGTGAGGCCTCAGGTGCCCAGGTGGGGTCTTAGGTTCTCAGGTGCATTCTCAGAAGTGTCCTCTCCCACCGCTGCCTTGACCTTCGCTGTCAACGGCTTGCCACTAGCTGGCAGGCAGGGCAGGCATGGCTCGTCGTAGGTTTGATCGCAGGTCCTCAGCTCAGGTGAATGCTCAGGTGAATGCTCAGGTGAATGCTCAGGTGAATGCTCAGGTGAATGCTCAGGTGAATGCTCAGGTGCTGGTCTAAGTAGCCCCATTTTTCTCAACCCCTTGCTCCTCTGCAAAAAAAGATGGCTGGCCGAACAGTCGGAGCGCGGTTGAAAACAGAGGAAGCGACAGCGTACCATTAGGCTGTTCTGTTCCATTGGTCATTCCACCATTGGGACCATCGGGCTGGAGGGGTTTCCTTCGATCGACTGATGCCTTCTTTGATTTCGCAGGGCTGATGCCTTCCTTGATTTTGCAGGGCTGATGCCTTCTTTGATTTTGCAGGGCTGATGCCTTCCTTGATTTTGCAGGGCTGATGCCTTCCTTGATTTTGCAGGGCTGATGCCTTCTTTGATTTTGCAGGGCTGATGCCTTCTGATTTTGCAGGGCTGATGCCATCCTTGATTTTGCAGGGCTGATGCCTTCCTTTTAAAGTGCTGCTCCCACTGGCCCCGTTCTCTCAGTCAACCCCTTGCTCCTGCAACACAGATGACCGGCCCAAAGATTAAAGCGTAACTGAAGGCAGAGGAAGCGACCAACGTGACATTCGGGACTGCTGGGGATTTATTGTTGGAATACAGCCACCCTCAGACTAAATTTCACTGCCCTGATTTTCCTATCCTCTACCCCCCCCACCCCCCCCCCC